TGTGTGTGTGTGTGTGTGTGTGTGTGTGTGTGTGTGTGTGTGTGTGTGTGTTGCAGCAAAAGTAAGGCACCAATAAGGTTATTAGGAGTTATCATACACTAAAGGTAGATCTTCGTTTATGTTGCAAGCTGATCCGCCCACATTTCGATGAACGTATAATATGATATAGGATGTTACGTTGAAAATCTAATCTTTCTGTCCATGCATCTATTTATTCATCTATCTATCTATGTATAATAATATTATTAATTGGTCTATCTATATATCTAGTTATCTGTCAATTTCTTGTAGATGTAATTTCGGGAGCTCTCGTAGTCAAGAGGTACGGTGTTTGCCTCTCTGTCAATAGGTCCCGGATTCGAAACGTCTCAACGACGAACAAATTCCTTCTCTAAAATTGTCCTGCTCTCTAACCCTGTTTTGTCGACTGCTTTCGTCACCACTTTTTGCCCCCTTCACACCCCCCCCCTCCACCATCCCACCCTTTTGCCCTCTCTTTCGGGATCCAAACTCTTTCTGCCGCCTTTCCACTGCTACTGAGTGGCTCCTTCTAACTGCTGTGTTTCACTCACACCCCTGATCTTAGAGGCAAAAACATCTCGGAGGTTATGTGTGCAAGTTGCACACATTATAATAATCCCTTGATAGTCCTAAAATCGATAAGAGTAGGCTTCGGCCGCCACCCGGGCAAAATTCAAAATTAATTCCTACCATATTATTGTAAATGTTTAATGTGTCTCACGCGCTGATATGACGTTATGTAGATTTACTTGGATTTTACTTGGATCCAGAGCTAGAATCATAGCAGGCGGCGCATGTCCATAGCTGCTCATCTCTCCTTTCCAGCGTCCACATCAGGGTCTTCCTGCTAATTGTCTCCATGAGGAGCTGGTTTGAGACACGCCTGACCACTCCTCGGAGCAAACTTTTTTTCGCTGTGCCCCGCACACACTTTCCTTTTATTGTGCTGAGTGTGTGGGAGTCTGTCTCCTCTTGGTTGAGAAGGCTCTCCTTGCATCTGGCGATCACCATTGGTGGGTCGAGCATGATTCGGCCATTGGGTGTTGCTTTGCCGGCAAGTTCATCAGCACGCTCATTTCCGTGCACCCCGGCGTGACCAGGGCAGAACACCCATGTAATTCTTAGGAGGTGGCTATTTGCAATGGAAGCTCTCCAGTCACTGTAGAGCCACCCACTCCTCATTTTTTCTAGGGTGCTCATCGAGTCTGTGACAAACAGGGCATGTTTATACGCTTCCATGCTGATCCATTCCAGCGCGTTATGTAGATGCGAGCGCCGAAAAACACTTATTGAAAAAGTCTGTTCTGTACGTGTCTTGTATTAGCTCGTCAACTGATCACTCAAAAGCCGTGATCCATCATCCGTACACCAGAAGGGCCACCAACATTGGGAAGGCGTTCCTTAAAACGTGAACTTGTTATGACAGCCCTTTACAAGATTGGCGTTTATATGCACTCTTTTTTATTCAAAGAAGCAGATTTGTATCAGGTGACCGAAATTGTTGGAATCAAATTGCAAGTCGCTGGGCGTTGCTTTGGTTCAAGACACAAGCTTTGTCGATATTCGTGTTAATTGCGGAAAGTATTCATCGCCATGTGAAATCAGTTGCTGTATGTTTCAAATAGGACATTTTTCTAATACAACTTTGTTTTTAATCTTCCATATTGATACAACCTCTCCCCACCCCTCTTTCCGCACTCCGTCCCCTCTCTTTTTTAAAAGTTTTATGTATTAATGTATTAAAGTATTCATTCATTCATTTATTCATTCATTCATTTATTTATTTATCTAATTATTTTATCTGTTTATACAGACAGCGAGAGAACAAGATCGTAGCCAACGTGGAGTTCCCCGGCCTGGGAGTCCAGTACCAGATCAAGGGAACAGGATCTCTACAATGGCGTGACCTTGACCCCGACAAGACCTTCACCGCCGGGCAAAAGGTTGCTCTTAGGACCAAGAACTTGTTGGGAACTCGCTTCAGTGAGGAGGTCGTTCTAAACATCCGAAAATACGTGGTTGTCAATGATGGCAACCAGGCAGCTCTTGTGAAAATGTCACCTGTCGTCTGGGTTGTACTATTGTTAAGTGTGTGTATGCACATTGTGCGTGTTCACGTGTAAGTTCATCTGGCATCTAGATCTAGGCGTGTGACAAGTTGCAGACGGCACTGCTTAATGTCAGGTTTGGTACACATATATCATTCATAGTCCATGGGTTTATCGTATGCTTCACCATAGTAATGTGTAATCATCAAAATGGGAGGATAAGAATGGCGCAATCTTTTTACGGATATCGTGTTTTCATGTTATTTTTTTTCTCTTTCTTTCTCGTTTTGA